AATCAGTTGAATGTAGATTCTGGTAAGTTAAAGATGTGTACTATATATAAACTCAAAAGCAACCATAAAAATAAAATAACAAAACAAAGTTATGGCTAGTAAGCCAGTAAAGAAGACAAGGTTTGTAATCAGAGAAAGATACTCAATTATAAAAAAGGTAGAAGGGCCGGCCGAGTGGCGCGATGGTTAAGAACTGGCTTGGGATGCCAGAGGGCCCCCGTTCGGATCCCACATACGAGGGCCAGTGACACTGCCCTCTACAGCTAAGATGCTGAATAACAGCTCAACCTGGAGCTGGGCTGCCATGAGTTGCNGTGAGAGGCGCGGCGGCACAGGGGCCACGGGGCCCTCGCTCGGACGAGGCGGGGCCCGGCTGGCGCCCGGGCGCTCCGCGGGGCCGGAAACCCGCGCGCCCGCACTCGCGCCTTCCTGCTGCCCGGCTTCACGTGGAGCCGGCGCCGCGCGACCTGGCGCGCGCGAGCAACGGCCTCGTCCCGCAGTGCTCCGACTGGGGCAACTCAGCGCGCCGCCCTCCGCCAGAGCCCTTCGTCAGAGACACGCGCGACCTACCTCGATGCAGGTCCTGCACAGGAACTCCTCCGCTCGCCTGCCCGGCCGCGAACTGCCCCAGAGCATGCGCTTTGCAGGCCTCGGCCCCCGACCCGGCCAGAAAGGAAAACAAAGAGCCCGGCGTCCCCTGGTGGCCGCCCTGGGAAGTGCAGGTGGAGCGCTTCGACTGGGAGCTATTGACCAGGCTCCCTCCTCCTGCATTCCACTGTACAGTGGGTGTATATTTTGGAGACCTCAAATCGGGACAAGTGAACTGACAACCAAAAAGACCACTGGAAAGCAGGGTTTTGGAAAGCAGGGAAGGGACTGTACGGAGAAATACCGATCGTCCCTGCTCTCAAGAGGGTCTCTGTCGGAGAAAGAAATCAGACTATCACCAGCCAACCACACAAAGCTATGACAAGAGTAGGCACAGGGACATATGGCTCAGCCTGGGACTTAAGGAAGCCTTTCCAAGTTAACTCGAATTGGCCGGGGCATTCTAGGAGAAGCATCCCTTGCAGTGACAGGCAGTGATGAGAGCCTCGGGTGGTTTGTGGGCAACTGCCAAGAAGGTCTGACTGGAGCAGAGGATGCCTGGGGGAGTGATGGGGAGAGCACTGGAGAGGGAGAGTAGGGCGATGGATGCGGGCTTATGTGTCTAAGGAGTGCAGCAGCCTCTATCCTCAGGCAATGGGGAATTACGGAAGGGATTTGAGAATGTGAGTGATACGAGATTTTTGTGTTAGAACAAAATGGAGAATGGACTTGGGGGAAGGGGAAACCAAGAGTGGAGGGATCAAGCAGAGTAAGGAAGACCAGATTAGAAAGAGGGTGTGAATTGGGGTTGGGAGCTGGAAAAGGAAAATAAGCACCAAGCTGAGGACCCTCTTTTGTTAACACAAAAGATATAAACAATTCTTGAGGATTTCAGGTATGGCGCAAGGTGACCTCTCAGACCATTTGATCGTCTGGGGGATTNAAGGGACTGTACATCACGGGGCAGAGCCCTATGCTCCCGTACGCCACCTGGACAGAGCCCCGGGGAGAGTGACCTCCCGGGGGTATCCACGTTGGTAACTATAACCTATTTTACAGACTATTGTGCTAGCAATTAACTACATCCAGTGGACAACGACTTCCCAGAGATATCCTTTTGTTGAGGTGGATCCTAAAAACTCGAGTCAATGAAATTCGAGTTCAAGACCGATCAGCAGTCACATTATCAGTAACCAAAACTAATTTTCAGCCAGGTACCCCAAACATATCTAAAACTACTACAAGCGATTAGCACGTGGAAGAAATGGGAAATGCAGAGCCGTTTTTATACAGCAATTAAGCCTCCATTATCTGTATCTTTAAACTGACCATCTGTTGTTAAATCACCCTAAATAATTAAACAGATTGGCAGAATTAAGAGCCGTCGTTTCGAAAGCAGGACTCAAAACGCAGAGGAGCGATAGGAATAATGTACTGCACGCCACTCCACTGAGGATGACACGCGACTCCTACGAGGTGGACCAATAAACGGCACAATAGGCAACGCGGGGGGTGGGGGGTGAGTAGGGTGGCAGTTCGGCGCTCGCACCCTTTAGTTATGACCCTCACCCGCGGCTCGCGAGGCCTCCACAGCCCACATCCGACCCAACCCCACAGCACGAGTTTTAAGTATAGTTAGCACGGACGACGCTAAAGGTAATCCTTTTAAATAAACTCCACAGGAAAGGCTGGTTGGCAGGCCATGGTCCTAAGACCTAGAGCTCACAAATAACGCGGGTAAAAACACTCACCAAACCAGGAGCTCACAGAGCGAAACTCTTCCACCAAAAGACCGAAGAAGGCCGAGACATCCGTATTTATACCTTCCGAAGCGAGCGGAAATAAAGAAATGTCTATTGCGCCTGCGCCGCAGCATGCGCAATGAGGGAATCACAAACTCGCTAAGGATGCTGGGAATCTACTGTTGGCTAAGCCCCACCCCTACCTGGCTCAGAGGCTTCTCGCAAAGCGAGTGCCTTCGTGCGGCACCTTGCTGCCAAATGTAAATTACTGAAACTGAGTTTTTGTAAGTACGTAGGCGCACAGGTATCTTCCTGATCTCAAACCTACTTATCTACATTGAGTTCACCTAATCTGGAGAATATGCTGTTAAATAAACTCGCCAAAAAATAGCTGTGGAATAAGTATGCAAAGTAGAAAACATCTAGAGAAATGCAAGGAGTCTCAAAAGGGATTGAATCTGCCCTGTCACATATGAAATAAACATTTGATAGCTGCTCCTATACAGAATTGGCTAAAATTAAAGCCTATGCATAACAATGAACGTACTTAATACTACTGAACTGTAACTTACAAATGGTTAAAATGGTAAATTTTAAGTATATTTTAACATACAGCTCATGTAAAGAATTAGGCAAGAATCCTGAAGACATATGTGAAATGTTGCAAATGTGATAGAATTTCGAGTATAGTGTTAGGTGAATAAATATTAGGTAATGTCCAGCCTAGGACATAGAGCCATCATAGCTGGGCTATGATGAGTAGAAGCATTTATGGTGTTACTTCTTTAAGATTTTATGCTGAGTGTTTTACATACATTATTTACTATCACAGCAATTCTAAGACATTGGAACTATTACCCCCATTTTTTTATTTTCTAAAGATTTTATTGGGGAATTGGGAAAGGTGAACAGACAAGTTGCTGTCCTTTTGTTCTTCAGTCCAGCAGTGGAGGATTGTCACCTCACTGGCCCATCTTGGCATTGTGATCATTGTGCTCTTCCCGGCTGAGGCAGCCTCCCGCTGGCCACCAGACGGCTGCTCACCCAAGCACGTCAGCTGCTGGACAGCCCCACTGCAGCCCACACCGTCGCTGGCGACCCACGGCAGCCTAGCTCCAGGTCAAGCCACCGTTCATCATCCCAGCCGCAGAGGGCGCAGCATCACTGGCCCGCATGTGGGTCCCAAACTGGGCCCCGCTGCCCAGAGCCAGCGTCCCAAGCCAACTCCCCACCAACGTGCCACTAGGCTGGCCCTATTACCCAAATTTTAAGATGTGAAACAGGCCCAGAGCAGTGGTTCTCAAAGTGTAGTTGACAGACCCTGAGGTCCCTGAGACTCTTCGGAGTCCATGAGGTCAATACTATTTTATATAATATTTAGAATTTCTTTGCCTTTTTCATTGTGTTGACTCTTCACTGATGTGAAATGAAATCATGGGTAAAATTGCTTGCTGATGCCTTAGTATGTTCCAGGCCCTGTCACCAAACTGTACTGGTAGTTGTATTCATCATCACAAATTTAGTTAAAAAAAAGTCGGTTTCACCCAAGAATGTCCTTCAAGTAAAAATCATTGATTTTATTAATTCTTAACTTTTGAGTATCCATTTTTTTAATATACTTTGACTCATGGTTTCTTTTAACTCTTGGTAAAGGGTGGTGCGGTAATGAAAGCATTTCTGAATTAACAAGTAGAAAGTCACAGGGCCGGCAGAGTGGTGCGTTGGTTAAGAGTTGGCTTGGGATGCCAGCTCTAAGCATCAGTGCCCCAGTTCGGATCCCACATGAGGGCCAGTGACGCTGTGCCCTCTACAGCTAAGATGGTGAACAACAGCTCGACCTGGAGCTGGGCTGCTGTGAGTTGCTGGCGACAGTGTAGGCTGTAGTGGGGCCGGCCCGCCAGCAGCGGCCCTTAGCTTTAGTGAGCTGCCATGAGCAGCCATCCAATGGCCGGCGAGCGACTGCCTCACCCGGGAAGAACGCAATGATAATACCAACATGGGACAGTGAAGTGACGTCCTCAACTAGACTGAAGAACAAAAGGACAGCAACTTGTCTGTTCCCCTCCCCCAACTCCCCAATAAAATCTTAAAAAAAAAAGTGAGTCACAGGTAAGGCCACCTGAAACTGGGCTGCTAGCCGGAGAGGAGCATGTGAGGTATAAGCTATCTTATTGTGATGTCAGCCTAAGGTCTAATGGTCTAATGATATCTGGTCCATACAGAGTAATCCTTGTAGGGACCATTGTTTAGGATGCTGTTGCTCGTCCTTGAATACATACAGAGTGATTACATAATTTGCTTTGAACTTGGCGAAGCAACTTCACTTCTCAGGTTCTTCACTAGTAAAATGAGTCTGTTTCCACCTACCTCTCAGACTAGGGGTGGGATACATAGGATAAAGGACCTAGTGCAGTTCCTGGTACACACTGTGGGGTTCACAGTTGGCTTTCCGCTCTGCAGCCTGTTCTTTTTCCATGAGTGCACAGAGAGACACAAGCATGACTGACCTTCATGTCTGGCTACATTAATGTTCTTACTATTATATTATCTTTCCCCCTCATCTACTTCTCATTGAGGGTGCCTAACAGTATTTTAGGTATCACTTTAAGATGGCTTAAATCTTTTGGAATAAGGTAGAATATAAAATAAATACTTCACACCAGAATAGTGTAGTTTCTTTTAATTTCTAAAATACTTTAATAATTAATATTGCTAGGAAGACTGATATACAATGCAATTATTTATTTTACAAAGAGATTCTGTACATCAGGGAAGCATAATACATCAAGCTTTTATTTCTTCTTTACATTATGATTGTGAATTTTTACTTACATGGAAAGGGAACACAAAATCTATTACATATATATATTTATATATAAACACCTAAAAAGACTTGACCCCCTCAAAGTATCTTGTTTCAAAAGAACATGAATGAGATGAAAAGGTGAACTAGATTCCTTAGTGGCACATAGAAAGCAGACAAGTAGCTCAGGAAATCAAATCCTTTTCAAGCTTGGCACATTAAGGGAAAGTAAGGCAGTGAAAGAAGGATTTGAAAATGTCTTCTGAAGCCACAGAGAATGCTAGCCTACGCCAAGTAATCTCCAAACCAACAAGACAGGAAGGTTAGAAGTAAAGTTAGCAGTTAATGTGTGACCAACTTATATATAGACCTCTAACAACTTGGCAGAGTTGTCACTTATCTTCCCTCAGTCATACCAAATGTGAATGAGTTTCAAGATATGGAGCCAGTTTAAGGCATTGATGGTAACTGAGAAATCTAAATATGTCCCCATCCCCCATACAGACAGAAGACACTACTCTTTAAGGTCACTTTAGCTTTTTTGTTTTGACCTGATACTCTGATTTTTCAGCAAATCTTACATGGACATGAAAGGAGAAAAGAGAAACATCTACCGAAATGATTACATACAGAACAACAGGGACCATAGAAGAAAAAAGAAGAAATCTATAAAAAGTCACAATTTTCTGAACATGAAAGTAAAGGGGAAAAACCACATTCATTAGTTAACTAGAAACTATTTTTCTCTTCCACTTAGTGTGGATAGGAATTAGAGGGAAACAGTGAGGCTGTATGGTTTTCAATAAAAATTCAAAGAAAGTAACGAAAGCTTGTGTTAGGAAATCATATTAACATACATTACAGATACAAAAGGGGATGGGGGCTGAGCCCATGCCCAGGCACCACACACTGGCTACAGCTTCAAGAGGAGGGATGAGTGACGTGGAAAGTGCCAGAGAGCAGGAGAGGGCGAACAGTACTGAGGAGGAGAGGAGCAGTGGGTCACGATCACGCCCCTCCTACCTGCTTCTCCAGAGACCTTTTCCTATTTAGCACCCCACATCCCAAAGACCTTGCTGTGATTCTGGCTGGAAGAGTGGGGGCCGCCAGCACAAATGCTCCCACAGAGTTGCTACAACTCTTCTTTATGGAGAATACATCCATTGGTCAGAATGATTTAGAGTATCATTTGGTACAACAAATAGCCTGTAAAAATTGAAGTCACAAGCCAGTTTTTTGTCAAGTTGGCTCTAACATAAAGGCCGTTTTGTTGTCGCTTTTTGTTTTTGTATATAGAAAACATACATGGTTTTGCATTTTCCCAACTTGGAATCTGGTTACAGCTCAGATTGTTTAATAGAAAAAACGTAAGTCTCCATCACTTCTTTAATATATATATTTTTTAAATAAAAATCAAGATGACTTGTATCAAAGAGGATGAAGCTGTCAGATCCTGAGCTTCTCAGGCTGGACGCCTGAAGAGGACTTACTGCTGTGTGATAAGAGGTACAGTGCAATGCTTTCAGCTGACATGCCAGTGTGGTATGAAGGCTTCTCCCACCAATTGATTTGATGGCTGGAATTTAGCCACAAGTGGGTCTCACAACCAGGATGGAGCAGGTAAGGCTGACGGTGCAAGCTGTGCCTCAGCACAGGCAGATGTCTGGGGGCCAGGGTGTGATGCAGTCAGTAACACTCAGAACCTGCAAGTGGCCCAGAGCATTGGAGACTGGTGAGGGAAGACCCCTCAAGTATGCCGCTGTATTAAAAGGTTCAAAAGCACTGATGAAGTGTTCAGTTTGCTTAAGGCAGCACAGGAGAATCCATTCCAGTGAAATGCTACATTCATAGAAGTGCTGTTCACCCCAGAAGTATATCCCGGGGAGCTTAATTCTGGCTGTGCTGGTAAGTGCTCAAGTTCCTGCCATGTCATTCTGGAGACGGAAGCAGCAAAGCAGCTCTGTTTAGTTCTCTCAAATTTCAGCATCATGGACGATGGTAGCTAAAACAGACGATCAAAGAGCCGGGTTACCAGACAGTGTAGATTGCTATTATTATAAATAGTAATGAAATGTTACGTTTTAATTTTTTAAAATTACCTTTCCTCCACTCTAATTCTACCTCACCTTTCTGTAGCTTCTGATACCCCTGACCCTCTTTCCTTCCTTCTTGAAACTCTCTTCTCTTGTCTTCTGTAATGCTATCTTTTTCCCTAGTTTTACTTTTTCTTTGTTTCTCCTCAGTATGCTTTCCTGCTCAGCCCACCCTTTAATAAAATATGAAACAATTTTCACCTTGTGAACCACATCTTTTCTCATAAACTTGCTGTCTTTACCAACTTTTTTTTTCTTTTTTCTTTAAGCTGAGCCATCCTGCCACCTGTTGACAGCTCAGCTCAGAGCCTGGAATCGAACTGGCGACCCTGTTGCTAAGAGCTCGCACTCTTGAGCGAGTTCTTAACCAACTGAACCACTCGGCCAGCCCATAAACTTGCTGTCTTTAGACTAGGCTGAATATCCAACTGCCTTCTAGGCATCTCCACTTCAATGTGTCATGGGTCAAACTCAACATATCTAATTTATTTTCCACTTTGTTTATTGTCGGCTTTCCTCTTTTAGAATAAAAGCTTGTTAAAAAAAGGACTTTTTATCTTGTTCTCTGCTAGATCCCAAGTACCTAGCACTGTATCTATCATGCAGTAGGTACTCAATAAATATTTTAGTGAATAAATGTCCTAACCTGTTCACCTGAGGCATTGATGTCACAGACCTCAAAAATCACAGGTGAGAGAGAAATCTAAGCTGATTTTGGCTACTTCTTTTGATTCATCCCTGGAATCAACAGACTGCCAAATATTGTTGATTCTATGCCTGAATTGTCTTTCATACCAAACTCTTGCATTCCCATTATCACTTCCCTGGTTTGAGCTACCAGTATGCTCACTATGGCTATTTTAATTACTTCCTTGCTGTTAGCCTCTCCATCCTTTCATACCACCTTCCTCAGTTCCACCAGAGCCTATTCTCAAATACACGGAACTCCAATGGTTCCAATATCCAGCGTAAAACAGCCAACGGTCTTCAAAGTGCGACCGTAACCTGTCTTGTTGGTCTCAGCTTCAACCATACTGTCCCCAAATATCCTCTGCTCCGGCTACGATTTCTGTTACCCAGAAACACTGTGCACTTTCCTACCTCCCACAGTCTTGCTAAAGCTGCTCTTTCCACTTACAATGTTCCTTCCTTCTTGTTCAAATAAATTATTTTATATACATTAAGATTCAGCATAAATGTCACCTTCTCTATGACTGTTTGCCTTTATTGTTGCTCACTATAGTTTCTTACAACTAGTAATAACAATAAAAATAGCTAACACTGGGCCAGCTGAGTGGCTCAGTTGGTTAAGAATTGGCTTACAAGCATGAGCTCTGAGCAACAGGGCCGCTGGTTCGATTCCCACATGGGACAGTGACACGGCGCCCCAGCTGAGCTGTCGCTGAGCTGCCAACAGGTGGCAAAATGGCTCAGCTGGTGTAACAAGATTGCCTGCGCAACTAAGACTGAACTCACAACTAAGACTCACCTTGAGCTGAGCTGCCACCTGGATGGCTCAGTGGATAGAGCGTGTGCTCTTAACAACAAGGCTGGTGGTTTGACTCCCGTATGAGATGGTAGCTACGCCCACCCGCAACTAAGACTGAACTTGGCACCTTGAGCTTAGAGGCCACGAGCTGTCGACGGGCAGCCAGATGGCGACTGGTGCCCTCTGCAACGAAGATTGAAGATCAACTACTTGGCTGTCCCCTTCCCCAATTCCCCAACACTGTTCCCCTCCCCCAATTCCCCAATAAAATCTTTAAAAAAAAAGCTAACACTGACATAGATAGGAAATGGTGGTGTCGGGATATGAAATCTGGTGGATTCAGCACTGAGAATGACGGAGGCATTTGCCATACCGATTGTACTGTATTTAGTAGTACACAGGTCTTTTCCCAGATTAAACTACAATCTCCTGGCTGGCAAGTATGGTGTGCTATTTGAGTTCATACTATAGTGCCCTTGAATAGTGTTATTGCTGTTCAAACAATATGCCTTCTCTACTTCTACCAGAGTTCAGTACAAAAAAAATTTGTAATTAACATAACCATTTGCCTGTATTGTGATGGAAAAACATTTAACAATATTTTCCAACTTTGCTTTTTTCTCCTTTTTACAGCAAACTGTAATTGTCATTATATCTTTTTTTTTTTTTTTAAGATTTTTATTGGGGAATTGGGGGAGGGGAACAGTGCTGGGGAAATGGGGAAGGGGACCAGCCAAGTTGTTGTTCTTCAATCTTTGCTGTGGAGGGTGCCAGTCGCCATCTGGCTTCCCGTTGGCAGCTCGTCGCCTCTAAGCTCAAGGTGCTATGTTCAATCTTAGTTGCAGGTGGACATGGGCGTAGCCACCATCCCATGCGGGAGTCGAACCCGGCAGCCTTGTTGTTAAGAGCACACACCCTATCCACTGAGCCATCTGGGCGGCAGCTCAGCTAAAGGTGCCAAGTTCAGTCTTAGTTGCGGGTGGGCATAGCCCATCATCAAACAGGCAATCTTGTTGTTACACCAGCTGAGTCATTTTGCCACCTGTTGGCAGCTCAGCGACAGCTCAGCTTGGGTGCAGCATCACTGGCCCATGTGGGAACGGAACCGGTGGCCCCATGGCTCAGAGCCCGCACTCTTAAGCCAACTCTTAACCAACTGAGTCACTTGGCTGGCCCTATATCTTCTTTACAGTCTCTTTTTAGAAATGTTCTGAGAGTCACCTAGATAGTGATCCCATTTTTGGCTAGCTGATTCTTTAGGTAGGTACTGGGTAGGTCCTTAATCACAACAGTAGTTACAAATCAAAACACATCTTGTCTTGTTTCATGAAGACAGTTAACTAAAGTGAAATTTACACACAAAATTGGTAAGATCAACTGTGCTAGAAAGAATTGAAACCAGAAACGGCAAGATCTTATCGAACTCATGAACAATTTCCTCATACAGCACCTGGGACAGTGAGGTACAGGGAAGAGAACACCCAGTGGCTTTTTAGTCATTCATTCCTTCCTCCAAATCATGGTTCCGTAACTCCCTAGCAAGTCAAGCAAGTTATTTAATGCTCTAAGCCTGTTTCCTCAATATTATGGGGGATATTAACACACCTCGAAGGTTTATTGCAAGGATTAAATAATACACGTAAAATGCCACATTCGGTATAGGCATTTACCATTGACTCTTAGTTCTTTTAATGTAGTCTCCTTGCAATCAACACTGAGTGTCCTTTAACGATGTCCTTCCTATCTGAGCAACACTGGTATGTTTGTTTTTCGGTACAGCTCTACTTAGTACACAGTATTTGGGTCTTTTGGCTCTTACCGTGTAAAATGTTTGCTGTCTTCATGAACCTCCATCTCTGAGCTTTTAAATTCATTCAGTTCTTTTCTTATGGCAGCCTGTGGAGTAGAAACAAAGATGTTTCAGCATATTCTGTCTGCAATGGCTTTGCAGAATAATTTGCCATCTGTTCTCTATTGTGCTTAACTCATGAGTCACTGTAATCTGGGCAGGCAACCCCAGGGGGAATTAAGAAGCCAGGTCAACACATTGGGCGAAGCTCTGAGCCAACATACGTCACTTTCCCTGAGACCATTCATCTCATAATAAACCTAGAATTTCCAGTTAAAACACTTGAAGAACTGAAAAGCGATATTGTAGCTTTTATAGTTTGCACAGCATGTAAAAATGCTTTTCCTGTTTAAAAAGTAAAATATGGGTAATTATTAAAATGCCACCCAAACTCCCTCCAACCAACATAACCACTGTTAAAAACGTGTTTTATTTCCTTCCAGACGTTTGTACTCTGTTAGGTACTAGGGATTTTCTTTTCTTTCAGTTTTGGTGGTGGTGATGGAGTCATTAGTATAAACTTTTGGTTTGCACATCTTGGCATTTTGTATATTGATTACAAATTTAACATTATATCAAAAGTAGACATTTTGTTTATGGGTCCCCGTTAGTGTCTCACATCCTTCACAGAGAGACAGAGAGACACACAGACACACACACACACACACACATACACACACACACACACCTTGTCAGCAGGGGTCAGTTTGGTCCAAGGTTTGTCGGCTCGCCGGTCATAATCTTGCGCATCTGTTACCTCCACATATTCATTAAACCTCAGAATCTTCCTGGCAAGTAGTTCGGCCACAGTTGGCCTTTGACTGAGCTAAAAGAAATGGAGCCTCTTAGTCGGCTATTCCAGGAATCAGGCATCGATCATGTGTTCAAATTGCCTCTAACCTAGTGCGTTAACTTTCGCTGTACATTGGAATCGCATGGGGATACCTGGGTCCACTGTCCCCGGACATTCTGGGGATTGGGAGTTTCTTTTTTTTTTTAAAGCTCCTGAATGCACAGCTAAGATTGAGAACCACTGCTATAAACCAGTGTAATCAGTATTACCAGTACTTCTCAAACTTTACCATGCATACAAATCTTTTGGGGATCTGGTTAAAATGTAGATTCTGATTAAGCAGGTCCTGATATTCTGCATCTCTTACAAGCTCCCAGATAATGCCAGTACTACTGGTCCATGGGCCATATTTTGGATAGCAAAAGGATTAGGGCTATAAACTCACATATAATACCTTAAAGTGAATACATTTAATATGAAAGAAATATCTAGTGCGTAATAGTACGAGTGAACAATGCCCAGGATAGCAGATTCTGTAATAAATTATGATTTAAGATTGCACAATCAAGTAACCTGCTCAATCTGAAGGCATCAAATATAGCTGTGGCTTCTGGCTACCCTCAGTCTATCAAGGATAATTCCTCTGTTCCCGGGGAAGGGGATAAGTGGGAGAAATCAGGAAGAAAATGTCTAGATCCCTTACTCTGCTGAGGAGTCCTATAAGTTTTCAGAAATATGTGGAGAACTCAGACTAAATCAGAATCTACAGGAGGCAATTACAAACTATTATGGTGGAAAGGAAAGGAGAAAGGTATTAGCCCCAGAGCTGAAAAGCTAACACAGGTCTGGTACAGAGAAGATTCTACCCTAATTAATCTGGGACCAAGGAAAAAATTCTAGTTGGTTTTTCATACTTTTCAGGTATTACTAAGGGTCAGTTCAGTTTTTTACCTGACTAGAACATAACCAGTTTGCCTCACAAAAACTGAATGCTACACACTCCTCCTGTTACCCTATTTATATACTTCAGCAGGTTTTGGAGTCTACATCAAAATCCCAGGCCTACCAAATAAAAGGTAAAATTTTATGCAAACATTTATTGAGCACCTTCTTGTGCCAGGCTTTCTTGAAAATGAAAAAAAAAATGCTCTCGATAATGCTGTGTTGTTTTCTGTATTTGTATCATGTATTTTATTTTCATAGCAGTCTATGGGAATTCAAGTCAAATCATTTCTTTCTAATCAAATGGTTCAAATATAATACATGTACTCAGTAGACAGCTTGCAACCAAACACTCGGGCAACATACCTTTCTAGTGAGCCGACGTTTAATCTCTCGTTTTTCTGCCTGACGATCAGCTTCATTTTTAGCTACAGTTGACAGTCAGAAACAAAGAATATTCAAAATGGAAATTTGCATATCAAAACTTTTCACTAATTATACTGCAGATATTTCTTATAGGCTTTAAGTCAGAATAAAAGATGAACCCTAAGAATGGCTAACCAAGACAATTTTCTTCACAGCTGGTGTAGTCAAATACTTAAGAGCAAGAGTAGCAAATTATGGTCCCAAATCTGGCCAGCTGCCTGTAATGTTACTGCTCATGAGCCAAGAACGGTCTTTACATTGTTTTCCCCCCCTTAGCTGAGCCATCCTGCCACCTGTTGGCAGCTCAGCTTGGGGCGGGAATCGAACTGCTGTTGCTCAGAGCTCACACTCTTGAGTGAGCTCTTAACCAACTAAGCCATTCAGCCAGCCTGGTCTTTACATTTTTAAAGGTTTAATTAGCACCTACACAATAGCTTCCTTTTGCTTTTGGCCTGTAAAGCTGAAAATATGTACTATGTGCCCTTTAAGAAAAACTGCAGACTTTTGCTCAAGAGTTACCTCAGAATGGAGATCACAGTAAACTTTGTGTGATATGTCTACTATAGAGGCTCCCACACTTTAAAATTTACTAAGTGACTAAGTCAAGTGTATCTAACTAGTGATGAGAGAACAGGATGGATTGGTCAAACTGGGCATGCCCACAAGTAACCCTATGAAGTCTAATCCTCCTCTGTGAAGGTTTTTAGGGCGAAATTTCACCTTATAATGTGGAAAAACAAACCTGTATTAGATTATAATGCTATTTTAGGAAGTTAATTATGTACACAGAAAGAAAATGAAATACGTGGTCCTATTGTTTGACTTTAGAGGTATGAAAGTCTTAAGAGATGGAAAAAACTGCTGCATTTGCATTTGGGACTGGCTTTGGGCCCCAACCCCCAGATTCCTTTAGGCACAGGAAGGTCTCCTGCAAATGCACAGCCATCATTTTACTTCCCTGAAGACAGAGAAAAGTTGGGCAGTGTCCACCACACACTGTGAAATCCTCCCAAATGCCCAAAGTAGTCATAGGATACTGAGAACATTAAAACAAAATTTTCTGTAGTATCCAAGTACATTAAACAATACCATAATGATATCTTGTAAAGAAAGTTTGGGAGAACTCCTTCAGGGGAAAAGATATGAATAGCCCTTTCTTGGCTGGAACACACTCTCTCTTTGGCTCCTGCAGAAAATGCTTCTCTTCCTGGTTATGTATAGCAAAGTCTAAAATACAGAGAGAAAATCCACACAATTTTATTTCCATAGCTAAACTTACGTTGTAGTATATTTCGCTGTTCTAGTTCTTCTGGTGTTGGTCTTTGACTCAGTCGTCTAAAAGGAGATAAATAAGAGTATTGTCTATGTTAAACCTCCCAATCCTGTTTATAAAGATTTGTTTTGGTCTTAGCTTATATTAGCCCCTACACTAACTAGCAAGAAATCAATAAATTTTCAAACTGTTTTGATATTTCATTTATTTATCTGATTCATTGTTTATGAAACAATTTTCACATTCACAGTGTTCATACCGATGTTCCATGTCAACAGGAGGCCAGGATTCTATTGGGTTGTCGGAAAAGTCATGATGTATTTTTTCTGTTTTTCATTGCAAAAATGCGTCATGACTTTTCTGACAACCCAACAGTTCTAGCTCTGATGTCAACAAGTCCTGTCACCACAAAAAAGCTCAGTTGGACCCTGAGTGTACTCATTGTATAATGAAGGTTTGGGATGGACTGGTGGCTCCCAAACAGATTTGCTCCTTCAGCAAATTGCACGATTTGATGTTTTGACATATGTATACACCTATGAAACCATCACCATGACCTTGATAACGAACATATTCATCACCCTAGTATTGTTTTCCTAGGGCTTCTGTAACAAATTACCACCAACTGGGTGGCTTTAAAACAACAGAAATTTCTCTCTCACAGTTCTGGAAGCCAGATGTCCAAAATCCAGGTGTTGGCAAGGTTGGGTCCTTCTGAAGGCCCTGAAGGAGAATTTGTTCCATGCCTCTCTCCTAGCTGGTGGTTGCCAGCAATCCTTGACGTTTTTTGGCTTGTAGATGCATTACTCCAATCTCTGCCTCCATAGTCACACAGCATTTTCCCTGTGTGTGTGTCTGTGCCACTGTGTCCAAATTACCCTCTTCTTATGAGGACACCAGTTATAGGATTAGAACCTACCCTATTCCAATATGACCTCATCTTAGCTTGATTATATCTGCATAAAACCTCCTTCCAAATAAGTGGTACCAGAGGTTAGGGGAGAGGGGGAGACACAACTCTTCCCAGTACAACCTCCAACACAAGGTCTCATTTTTTTTGTAATCTCAACTTCCCTGCCCCCAGGCAAACAATGATCTGCTTCATATCACTAAAATTAATTTTCATTTAAAAAATTTTTATATGAAATCATACAGTATATACTCCTTTTTGATCTTGCTTCTTTGACTCAGCATAATTACTGAGGTCTACACAAGTTGTGGCATTATAAATAGCTCGTTTTATTGCTGTGTAGTATTCCACTGCAGGACTATTCCACAATTTGTTCATCCATTTGCCTTTTGATGGCTATTTGTTTCCATATATATAT